ATTCAACCACGACTCATGTCGCATCGACGATCGTGTCAATGCAGTGACTGCAGTTTTGAAGCCCAATCATGTCTTCTCTCATGCATATCATGTCGAGCTGACACGACTCGTACTGAAGATTTCACAAAAACCCACCAACACTCACACTCACTTGGGGAGACTTTCATCACACTTTGTTTTGGCGCATTGGTATTGCAACAATGATGGTAGGTGACTGGGTCAGAGAGAAACTAATACTTAAGGCGGCAAAGTATGTGTTTCTCAGGTGTCATGAATATATAAGTACTATTATCTATATATATATTCATCTATATATCAATATATATTATAATATACTACTATATAATGTTGATATTCGAACAGGTCTTCATAATGAAAAAACGTATGTAAACGTAATCCTAAGAAGTCAAAAAGCTCAGAATTCAGATTGCCCTGAATGCAACATTTGGACGTCGGCTAGGATACCGTGTGAGACATCATGTGAGTTCACTCAGGTGGATCTGAGGAGTATTTGTTGGGACGTCAATGTCTTTAGTTTGATTTCAGGCTTCAGATGCAGTTTATTGAGTATTTTTTGGGACGTCAATGAATTTACTTTGATTTCAGGCTTCAGATGCAGTTTATTTAGTTAATTTTCATTAAAAACCATTTTTGCACATTATTTCTCAAACAGAAGCAACACACGTTCATGTTCACACGCTGAGCTCAGAAAAACACCACACTGCATTAATGATAGAGTTTTGTGGGCTGTGATTGGCTCATGCATTGCAGCGGTCGGTGTAGCAACAGGTCCAGCCACGATCAGAGCATTTTTCCAACCGAGTGCAGCCTTTTTCTCCGTTATCTGCAACAGCAAATAGGAAATGCGTCATCAGGGCCTGGTGTCAGTATAGAGTGCTTTTCATCACGCTAATGTGTCTCCTCACATTGAGGTAGAGGACTCACCTCTGGTGTAGCAGGCCTGTTTGACTCTGCTAGTACAATCCAGCAGCATGTTGTCGACCATCAGGAAGTCCTGACCATAACACTTGATGTTATCAGCTGCAACACAAATACACACCTGAGTGTGTTGTTCATAACTGTAGCTAGAGGAAGCCTCCATACGCACCTGCTCCACCTGTCAAATAAAAAACTGTCTAATCATTTGTTTGATGTTTAGAACAGCCAAATTGGGGCAAGACTGGATGACTAAAGGCTAAGCTAAAGCTAACTCCTCATCGGCTACCTCTTCTTGGGCTCAACAGCAGCGTTCCCGACAGCAGCATCAAGCTGATGGGACTATGTCCTCGCACGGACAGAATAGAATTAATGTAAATGAAGCTGCATCCACAGAGACTGCGATAATAGAGTCCCGTCTCTGCTAACTTGTCAATCTGCCTAGAGACATCTATACTTGTGGCTGCAGCATGTATCCAGGATCAAGGATACTGATGCCACGTTTACTGTAGTGCCTGTAGTTAGCACAGAAAATGCTTATGTGACTGTATTGGGGGGGAGTAATTCATTTACCATGTGTTTTAGTGACTTTTAGTTCAATGTTAGCTTCATAAGAAATCTGTTTTTTGTGAGAGACATATCAATCTGTTGTTATCAGAACAATAAAAACTGCGAGCAAATACTTTAACAGTGTTTATGTGTCACTACTTTGGTTTTGTCAGTATTATATTAGTGAAGTTGCTTAATGAGTTCTGTAATAGAACAGATTAAAGCAGCATGATGAATTTATGTTGACTTGATGAAAAAGGAACATAACTACATATATAAATATAATATATAAATTCAGATAATGAGCTCTGATTGATCACAAATATCACACAGCTTCTTCTCAGTCAGAACCCAAATACACACACCTTTGCTCAGTCTCTGTATCCCAATCTCAGGAATAAACATCCATAAAAGAAAGACCTAATTTGTCAGAGAACTGTATGGTGTTTATAATTGATAATCAGTGATATGCACAGGCTGCAAAGTCCATTTAATAGAAATATAATATGTTGTTGCTTTGGACAGAAGGCCTTGGTGCTGTCATATTGTTCCACTAGAGCACATGTTGCAAACCTAAACTGATTCACCGACACATTTTTTGGGTATTTCATATATTATATATTCAGATTCAACAACCCCAACCATCACCACTCCTTCAGCAGAATATCCCCTGTGAGAAACATCCATGCTCATTGATGTGTGAGGAGATAATAACAGCAGATTTTTCCTGTGATGATTTGGATGAATTTTGAGACGATTATCCTGTTGACAATTCTCTGTGGTAGATATTTTTTTAATCATTTTAAAAGATTTTACAGAGTAAATAGGCTAATTTATTTTACTGAATCAGTGTTTTCTTCTTATCTACTGCAGAACGAGGCTGTTGATCAGAGTGTACGGGCTCTGTCAGTGTACGCTGTGTTCAGATCTTCAATGTGCCCTTATCCTGTTTAGATCTAAAAGTTATTTATTATTATTATTATTATTATATATTAATTTATTATTGAAAGTTTTTATATATTTTTAATTATTACGTTCTTAGTGTTCTACTTGTGTGTTACTCAGGGAGTTGGGCAAAGTAAGATTTTCATTGTGCGTATTAGCCTTGTGTTTATACTGTACATATGATAATAAACTTCTGCATTTTAATATAATTTTGTCCACATAAATTAATGAAATGCTAAGATACAGGCATATTTTTTGTAAAATAAATATCATGACCCCTCATAAAACTTAGTTAAACCCAAGTTAAACTCTTTCCATCCCTGGTTATTGTACATTCACTTTAAACAATAGATTGTGTGAGTGTATCACTTTACCTGAGCAGAGTGGCAGCAACAGCAGCAGCAGCAGGTAAACCTTCATATTTCCACGTTTCTGTTGATCTAACTCAACAAGCAGCAAAACCTGGAGATGAGGATGAGGAGGCTGGACTTTTATCCTGTGCTGACACACACACAGGTAAACAAACAGATAACAAATCTGAAGACAAACTGAACTGAACTCATGTTGACTTTGACAAAAGCTGTTTTTTGTCCAACATTTGTTCTGTTCCACCTCTCCAAAGAAAATCTCTGGCTGAATTTTAGCTGAGTCATGACTTGGTGTTGAAGCTCCTGTCCACATGTCGAGGTGTCCCTGGGCTTAGACAGTGAACTCCAAATGCTCCTGATGGTTGGCCAGCACCTTGCATGGTAGTGTGTGTAAATGGTAGGCACATTGTAAAGCCAATTGGGTAAAAGCTATCTGTAACGCAGCCATTTACCATTTAGCCAGTGTTACTGCTAAGCCATGACTCAGCATCATGTTTTGAGGACAGGCTGGTCAATGATTGGCTGACAGTTGCCAGCATCAGCGTTTTTCCTATACTTTGGACACTGAATTGAACTTAACCAAACATCTGTTTGTCCCACACGGGAGGTTTTTCTACTGATCCAAGCCAACTGATGAATCAACTGTTATCTCCTCACAGATCAATTAGCATGGGTTTTTATTTGGTTAACCTTATTGTTTTGTTGGGTATGTCTGGCGCTCGCGACGTTTCGTCCGCTTCTTGGGACTTCTTCAGGCTTAATGCCAAGACATACAATTATTAAATGTCCCCTAATTGGGTTTCACTGGGGAGATGTTGCTCCCTCAGAGGTTCGTGCCAAACTGAGCTCTGTGTTTGTTACCTCCCTTTTATACTCTCCCTCCTTCGAAGTTTGTTTCCATTTATTTTTGTCGTGTAAACCCCCCAGGAAGGACCCCAAAATGTGCCCTAAAGTCAGGGGGGTCGCCTGCCTTAAATAGATTGCAATTGGGAACAATAAATGTAAATATGTAAGGAAGTCATTCCTTATCAAAACCTGAAGAAACCGAGCAAGGAGAACAGTGAATGCACTGTTGCGTTCGTGTGACCGAGGGCTTTCATGTGGACCATTTCCCAGGTGTCTACACCCAACCGTTGCAAATTTTGTTCTAGAACAGTGCCACCTATATGCCGCTGACATATGTGATGCAGCTCTTTGAGAGCTTTCCAACGGTGTCAGTCCCTAATCCCTCACTGTGTTCCTTATAGAGATACAGCACTTAACGAGGTGAAAAATCTCAAACTTTGGCGCCCCCTAGCTCCGCACAGGAAGGGCGTGCAGCTTTGGTTCAAAGATGCTGCGGCTCAGCATGTCAATAAGCAGGGAGGCCTTAAAGTCCATGAGCCAACAGCCCTGCCTGCAGTCAAAAATCCATCAGAGGTCAAAAAATAGAATTTGAGATACAGGCTTTATTCTGCGACATATCAGGGTTAGGGTTAGGTATAGAGGTTTATAGGGTCGTGGCACCCCCTGCCAGGAAACTTTGAGATGGAATAACTCTGGATGGGAACATCCTAGAGACTTGAAACCAGTGTCTATACCCCCATGCCACGCTATGGGCTTTCCATTGGTGC